GCTTGAAACCATCAAAGCATGAAAAAGAATATTTAGCTAGTCAAAGAATTGTATGCAAATAACGCTAATGCAAAAATTTTGAAATTTATCTTATTTGAAATGCTAGAATACGTATTCTTGTTGATGCACATTTACAACGACAACGAAGTAATGCGAACTATGGGAAACGCATTGTCAAATAAATTCCTTATCGCAAGCTACGCGAGATAATGTATCAAATAGATTAAAATGAAACATCATTATTAGGAGGAAAGAATTAAATTCTCAAGGTCAAGTAGTGTTCACATTTGTTTTCCTGCTTGTTCACTACACATGATCTTTACAAAATTAAAACAGAAATATGATGTGGGTTACCAAGACTTGGCTCTGAACTAATGCATTTACATTCGGACCAATAAATCTTAACGAGTTCAATTGGTTTAGATTGTCAGAAAGAGCTACACAGAGTTGGGATATACAGTATATATCTGGTTCACACTGTCCCAACGTCTAGCGGGCTAACATTCAGGCAATTAAAGACTATGATATCTCGACAGACTTGGCTAACAACGTAGATGTGTAGATTGGAGACGGAGAGAAAAAGCTTAGAGCTTTATTTGAGTCCGTAACGTTTTCGTTCATCCTGTAATAAACTATCACATTCCCATCCATGAATCGACAGGGAAACCCGAGGGCTTCTGAAGCGTAGGAAACACTTCTGAAACTTGTTCTTAATAAAAGATCATTATTAATTCAATTACGGATCCTGGAAATTCCAGGGCATATTTAAAAATAGTATAGCTAGATGATTCAGTACTTGAGAAACACTGCAAGCGTACGATAGCCGTACATACGCAAAACGATCATTTTCGTATATTAAGCAAAGAACAGAACAGTGACAGAAATCCTCTAGCATAGTCGCACAAAATTTAGACATGCTAGCCGAATTAGATCTGACTAAAGCTGATACTTCACCAAACTATTCCACACTACGAATATTGATAACGACACATCCCATAACTATACCAATGAGATCCCAGCTGTGATATCAATACATATGACTGAGGAGGCTTTTCTTTAATTTTTTTCGCTAGCCACAAACCTACTAAGTCACCCGGTTCTGATGGGTTGCATTTGCTATTGCTACCATCCTTTGCTTACACCATATCTAGACCACTCACGATGACGTCCAACATGTCTCTCTCCCAAACTCGATTCTCTAGAGATTGAAAGGGTACTATTACTGGCTTTATATTCAAATAGCAAGAGAAACTGGTAGCGTGTAACAACGGACCTGTCAGTCTATCTAGCACAGTATTTAGGTTACTTGAAAACTAATTCGGGCGAAGGCATTAAGTGAAGTAGAATCATTCAGTCCGTTAAACACCCTGACGACGGGGGTTCGGAATAATCATTCATTCTTAATTACCTTGCGGTGAGCAGGAGTTGTTCGAACAGCAGCACACGATGATAGTTTGCCTATGAATATGATAATCACAGATTTTACCAAAACATTTGATAGTTTATCACTCGACGCTTATGAAGAAGCTCTCGGGCCTTGGAATAAAGTGTGCTATGTATAGTAGTAAGGAACTTCCTCTGTGAACGAAGATAGAAGGCAAAAGGGAATGGGATACTGTCTGAATGAAAGCCGATAAGAGTTCTGTACTTCTGAGGATCACCTTAGATTGCATATTTTTTCTCCTTTTACGTAAGTTAACTATCGGGTCCACTTAAGTTGTCAACACTGTAGTTTGCAGATGATATCAAAGTCTGGAGAACAATAAATGGTGAGGCTAATAGTCTTCATCCGCAGGCTGAACTAGACGAATTAGTTAAATGGTCACAAAGTCAGGGCTTATAAATGAATCCTATAGGCAGTGCACCAATGCACATGAAACACGGCATTAGTTACCAGTATACTGTAAACCGTACATGGCTTCCACGCGTGCAGAAAAAAAGATTTAGAAGTAACGGTAAGTAATGTCTTGAAAACTTTTGGAGGTTGCTATATTGCAACTTTCAGGTGTTTTCGAGTGTTATGGTTGCCTCACCGAGCATTCGAATATTTAGATGAGGATATGTTTCGGGTTTTATAGTCCACCTATGTGAGACCACATCTAAAGTGTTACATCCAAACGACTGAAGCATGACTTATTAAGGATGCTGACACACTCAAGTGTTCAACATGTGAGTCAGAGTTGGTGACGCGTCTTTCATTACCCCTGAACGATAATCCCTTACAGCGCCTGAACCTTCTTCTGAAGAATAAGATTTTAGAGATATCAAAATGGCTACTGACACCGACCCTCCATGGGCGTAGATAATAATCTGGATCTAGCGGATAGTTATTACTCCTATGGTAGAAAGGTCAATAGAAGAAGGACGAAGGTGAAAACGAAGTTCGGAAAACCTAGGAGAAAAGAACTTTTCGCCCCTAGACAATCTATGCAAATACGTATGTTTCAGCCCTAAAAGATGGCCAACATATCTTTAAAATAATAATTATAAAAGATACAATCTTGGTCGAGATCGGTTGCGAGATTTGGTTACATAAGAGCAATACGTCCCCCTACCTACAGAATCCAAACGACAGTCACTTAGTATCGATTCCAATATAGAATGAATGGAGGTATTGAGAGCGAACTATCTCCACCTAAGACTTACTTTTACGCTCCCAACACTATGCCTCTATTCCGTTCGGCTATCCACTGAGGCATGACCACCATCATTTACAGGAGGCATCGTAAGTAATCTTTACACCCCTACGATAAGGACAGCACTACTTACCACTGTAACAGAGATGGAGACAATTCAGCTTCCCATATCAAAAAATTTAATAACAACTCATCACCGAGCTTGATAAGACGTTCACGGAACGTAACTGTACCTATGATGTTGATGAAGCTCACTGCAAGCTAGTTCCGTCACCATCAAAGGAAACAAGTAAATTCTCATTTAGCTGTTTCATGAACCTGGATGGACTGCCATCCGAATCAGGCATGCAAAACATATCTAGTCAGATATGTTATGACTAAACAGTGGACTTTTATGCTTATTATTGTTCACTCTTTAAGTAATAAAATGGCAGAACTTAAAATGACTGGCTTAATTACGAAGTCGGAAACTATTCTTGTAACGGAAACGTGGTATCTGTCTTAAATGTTAGATGTAGAACTATACATAGATGACTTCATACTGCAGCGTTTCTACCGATATCATGAAAATGGATGGAGCTTATATGAACTACATACGTGACAATATTTCAAAGCACACGCGCGGTAACAACATCTTGAACTTGCTATTTTGTCTCAGAATTACACCTATAATAAGACTTATTGAAATAGTGTTCTCTACTAAACGTAATGGGATAGTTTATTGTTCCTTGCCAATTCACTTAACAAATATAAAGCGTAAGAAAAATCCGAGTAACAACACGACGCTTTAAGTTTGCAGACAGTGAATTTCAGTGAACGTTCTCAATTGATATGACTGGGATGGCTATTTTGATAACAAATCGTTATCGGACGCGATAGTTATCCTCAATGGGACCATGTTGTCGTGCTTAAATGCCACAGACCATACCAATAAGTCTTTCTTACTCCCATTTAAATGTCGAGCATGCGTCAGAAAATATTCACAGCTCTACGCTTCTAAAGACTTTTACTCCTGCACTCAGTGTATGAAGCTTACGAAATTGTTGAAGTATTACGTGATTGAAACGACAGTAAAGAAGAGTTCGACGCTCTCTAAAACATAATACCAAAAATTTCTTCTGAGTTGACGCATGCGTAAATCAAAAGATATTCCGTTTCCTATCCACGACGACACAATCGTGTAGATTGTGTACGATAGTACATTATTATATATATATATATATATTATATATATACTCTTGTGACCTAAAACCCTTTCACTTAGCTGGCCTCAATGATTCTTTGATCATCCGTACCAAATCATCAAGATAAACTCAAAAGTATCAACATTTAGGAGAGTAACAAGTGGGGTTATACAGGAAAATGTTCTATGACCTCTTTAATTTGTAATGTACATCAGCAGTTCTTGTAGCTTCTTCGACGAAGGAAAGACTTTCTGGTTCTCTATTGCCACAAAGGCAGTCTACTCACATAGTAAAGATGAGGTGTATAACACTGCTAATTTTATATAGCGGGAACTAAACAAGTTGGCAGCATAGTGTAGAAAGTACCGACTTCAACTTAAGATTAACAACTGTAGCTGGAGTAGAAGCAACTTGGGTCAATATTTTGAAGTTGTTAGTATGCCAAAATCCGAGTTTTTTAGTACTTTAGTCCTAGACTTAAGACACTCGAATGACCTAGATTTTTCGTGACGAACCACGTCAATCAGCTCAAAGGGACGTAGACTTATAGGCTGCATAATTCGTAATTTTCATGAAAGTTAGTCAAAGCTGAAACTGTGTAAAATCTGTATCCGCTCAGTGCTTATATATTGTCCGTTTATAACCAGTGGTCTTCGTATAAATGGCAAATTAAAATTCTAAAGAATAAAGAGATGCATCACAAAGAAGACTTTAGGACTGAGTCATGACGAGGGTTACTTTGCACGATCCGATAAATGGGTGCTAGAATCCCTTTGGTAAAGAAGAGTCTGACTTATTCCAAGATTTTACTTCAAAATCGTATACAAATTATGAAATTCTTCAAATCCAATGTTAGGCTTCATCTATTTGTCTAACTATTTAGTAAGAAATCACATCAGGTTAATCAAAATACAGCATTGTAGATCTGAAGTATGATGAAAATTCTTCCTACACATATATACAACCTTAGAGATCATGTATTAACGGTCAAACTTTGAAAACAGAGGTTGAAAACCGGGACAGACTTTTCCCTCGCTAAGTATAAATAGTAATAGAACAGTCGTCCCTCTGAAATATTCATCGTAGATGAATAACATACGTTTATTAGACTTGTTGATGAAGCCCTCGCCTTCAATCATCCGGCAGGAACGAACAGGCTTGCACCCTACTAAGATATCATATGACATTAACGTGTTTAAAACATGTAAGAAAATGTTTATTTCCAGTTTCATTTCTTATTTATATCAGCGTTAAGATTGTCGACGCAGAGGTAGGTGACACAATGAAAATTAACCAGAAGCGGACAGATAAATCACCAGATTAACGGACAAAACAAAATACAAGACGTAGCAGGCAACGCTAACAATTAAGAGATTTAATTTCTCCGACTTTTCAGACCGAGAGTTGGGGGTTGTATCTCTATATAACATGGCGAGTAAGAGCCGGTGTAAATCGCCAAGTACAAATCTCAATATACGTGTACGTATTGTACATCATTCGATAGCACTCAATTGGATAAGTAACACAAAGCACGCCCCATTGAAAAATATTAATTCATTCAAAAGTTATGAATAAAAATGTGACTCGGAAACATCCTACAGAAAGTCCGCGCGTCAAAATCCCACAGAAATGCCCGAGACATGCAATTTCCTTAACACACTGTCGTCCATAACTTTTGAACGGCTCAACCGATTTCACTCATTCACTTTCTGTGGGATTTCTCTTGCAAATATCTGTTTGACAACTTACAACATATTGTAAGATGACCGAATGAGTGAAATGCAAAATGTATCCATGAAATCGTTTAACCAGAAAATCAATTTTACGTTTGAGCAGTGAGCAAAACTTGCCAAAGTAATCATGCTGAACCATCGTCAGTATGAATGGTGAACCTCCAGTCTCATATGAGACCTTCAGCTCTACATAGTAATATAGCATATACAGTATACCACACATATGTAGGGTAGTAAACGAAATAACCCAGCCTGAAGCGCTAGGTCTTGAACAGCGCTTAAAACCCATTGTCTGCTCTCGGAAGTTTACGGAAGGATCGCCACTCTCTTCCTTTCTGAACGATATATGATGGTGTCTCTAGCCACTCTTCTGCACCATCTCTCAGACCCGAACCTTGGAGTCGTCAAACACCAACATAAGTCTACCCTTTGCAGCTTCATTTCATACTACGGCAACATGTCATGCACTGACCACCTTTCCGCTTCTTCCAACCAGTCCCAGAGTCGGCAAATAATGCATGACGTGGAATTCTCTAGGACGACATTCGTAGAATATGTCCAAGCCACCGAAGTCGGTGTTTCAAGATGGTGACACCAACTGGATTATCAACTCTGCGCCCGAACACACGATGCCGAACCTCTGAATTACTGACATGGTGTTGCCACTGAATGTCAGCAATCCTTCGGAGACAACAATGATTAAACACAGAGAGTAGCCAAACATACTTAACTCGTAAAGTTGAGGTTTCACAAGCACAGAACAAAACTGCTACCACCAATGAGTTGTAGATCCGACTTTTTACAGCCAAATTGACATCACGAACTAAAACAGTCAGTAACCTGACTAATAACTCTACACAAACAGTGTTGTTTTCTCGCAGTTATCCAAACACTGAACAAAAGTTCATACTATTATCATAAAAATGGGTTGGACGTTATACTCCCCTTGGCTGAAACTTATGCTCCCATGGCCTCCCGAATGCCCTAGTATGGCCGAGGGCGGGGAGAGTTAACTCTCCCTCTCGAAATGCCCTCGCGTGGCCTCGCGTATATAGCCACTGCCAGGGAAGTCCTACTCTGCTTTCTCGTGGCATTACTGTTGTTTGCGAATTTAAGAGGACGAAAAGCGAATGTCTGGTGACTTAACGGGGTTGGTGGATATGGACGGTCCACCTGAGGGAGTTGTTAAACCCTAATTGAAATCCGATGGTGAAAATGTGTTACAGGATCCTAAAGGATCAAGTGGCGTATGTACCTATTATTGGTGACCAGCTACCATTTGATTGCATCTCCTGACGTCATTCCACTGCCTTGTGGATCAAACTTTTAAGTTAAAGGCTCAAAACGTGGCCCCCTAAGGAAGCCACCTCTTTCGGTTTGGACACCTGAGAAGCATCAGAGCTCACACAAATTCAAGTGACTTGTGTGACGCATGTGTACTTTGTGCACCTTTGTACAAATATGTATGTGTTTCAATAAATAAATAACCAGTGTATGAACACTTAATAAACTGAAGTTATCGTTCGGTATATTATCTATAATGTTACCATATTAGCTATACTAATTTCACTCATTTTATAGGCGATCCATTAAGTAATCAGCATATTGAGTTTACGATATAAGTCTCACGGCCACGCTCACGTTAAACCTATTATTGTCAGTGGTCCATACGAAATTCTGGAACTTACCGCTAGTATTATGTAAAGAACATTTTTTTCTTTTTTGTCATATAACTGAAAGCTACAACACATGTAACTTTTCTATATGATTATTATTAATATAAACAGGAAATACTTGTACTGGTCATACTTTAAGCAGCTAACACGGTGTTCCGATGTGACTTGTTAAGGCACTTCAGCATGCTAATTTGTCCTTTCATTGTTGCTTTTCCTCATATTTGAGCAACCTACAATCAGCGAGTTTTGTATTCAAGTGAGTTTTGTGAACGAAACCCCGGCATCGTACGTACTCGGATCTCTGCTCTTCTGAATGCTAGACCACAAACTTAGAAACGAAACCACAGCGGCCTATGATGGACATGAATATATTATTTCATTACACTGACTAATTATTCATAATATTTATGACTAATAGAACTTACACACTTATAGGGTGCAAACCAACTCGTTACCTAGATGACTTGAAGAAATGAAGCTTCAATATATTATGCATACCTGTTCGTGTTTTGATTTCGTCAACTATAGTTATAAGAAGTAGACAGTAGTTTCAAATAACATGTATATGATACAACATAATGTGTATCTGGAATGAAAACTTACTAGAGATAACAACGTGGTATATAAACACAGGCAGCAAATACACTTGAGGCCTGTTTTCACTTCAGCTGACTAATGAAAGTGAGAAGCGCGTGTGCAGAAATGTTTTATAGACGGGAATCAGTATGTCACGTGAGTAGAGAACGGAAAAGTTGCGAAAGACTGATGTGGAATTGAATTTTTATATTCCACCCTATTTGGTATGAGAAGGCTGATGAAAATGTTTCTTTTGTTTTGTTTTGTCTTGTTAAATATGGCTTATCGAGTTTTATACAGGCATGTTTTTCTTCTCTTGAACTTTCCAGAGTAAAAATGTTTGCTTGATTCTATAGCTTCCATAAGTGGCCTTATGCCTCCTTCACTGACGCATCTTACCCGACTTTTTATTTTTTACTGAAGGCCGTAGAATTTTCAGCTTACATATTATGAAGAGAACGAGAATGGCAAACATAACGTTTAACTGTTACAGGAGCGGGATACATTCAAAGAGAAGTTGAACTGTTGCGATGATAACGACTACTTGGATTAATAAAAATGAAACGTTCCTATATGTTACAAATGAAACCGAAAGAATTTGTTTTTCCAAGTCCATGAAGGATGTAACTGTATAACCTTGAGAGCGCAGCTTCTAGTTGTATTTTGTCTGTTGTCGCTTGGTTCAGTGTACGTGTTTCTCTTTAATTCCCCAAGTCCTCATTATATTAACCTAATTGAAGTATCTTGTTTGCAATTTCTTGAACTAATTGTTTTTGATTATCATATATAACTGTCTATGTTGATGAAGTAACTTCTGTGCTCGTAAATTATCCCGTAGTGTCAAATTTGTCTGTGATCTAAAACAATATAGAATGTAACATCATACTGCAACCTCAGGATCGACGCAGAATGAGGTAACCGGGGAAATCTATGCTCACATCCTTTTTTTCCTGATCATGATTGATAGTAAAAACGGTAGGAGGTGAACGTTGGAAAAATCCTTCTTATATACTTTCCATAAGATAATATATCATCAAACTCTATTATGATGGTGCCAAATAGAGTGAAAATAACTATGAAAGTTTATTTTCTGAGTCAAATTTACAGCGACAACCACGTCGTTGTTATGTTGCTAACAATATATAATTAACCTATCCTATGTCGATAGATAACTTGGTTTTAGAATCATAAGCACATTTTTTGTCTAAAAAAGCCTGAAAATGTTGATCAATTGCTTTAATCAGTAAATCATGCTTAGTTTAGCCTAAGTTCACTTTGTTTGGTAATAATCGCAGTTAAAAATTTAAGATTATACTTGACATGTGCTTAGTTCCTAGTTTATTTTTATTTCCGAGGAGCTGATCTCCAAGTAGATTAGTAAGTTCATGACCATGGTCGAACCAGAGCCTTCCGCGACAAAATTAATCTTGTGACTGACATCCTAACATGTCTACCAAAATTACATCTTTTTCTGTGATGATTTTAAGTGGTTATCGGATTTTTAATCAGATTCCCAGTGAAACATTGGATCGAATGATCAGCGTGTCATACTAATTTCTGAAAACTAAATGGGTGGGTGTAGTGACTGTGTTACTTAGCTCAAGTTGTTTACTTCTGAATAAAGATATAGGATGTCGTTGAAACCATCTTTCAATTACATCAGTACCTCAAGTCTGGTTGTATTAGTTCCAATTTTAACAGCCCTAAAATTTTAACTGTGCTTGTGCTCTCTATTTTCGCAGTATGGTCCTAACTTCGGGTAATGATCGTGAAAGTTTTAGGACTTATTCGCCATAATGTATCCACTATCCGGATAATGTTCTCTGATGTTATATTCTAATATTAACTTCGTTTTCCCAATCACTGGGGAGTATTTCGTTGTAACGTTGCTCGTGAACGGGAATATAGGACTTATAGCTTTAATAATATAACTTAAAATCTCATGTCGTCTTTTGTTGCTCTGTAATTATAACTCATACACATCTTTTTCCAAATTTCATTTGTGTGAAGTGTTTTTAAAATGTCAGAAAATATTACACGTAACGTAAACGCCGATGTAAAAGTGGTCTCAGTATTTGTTATCGAATAATGACTTTGATTTACAAAATCTACTTACTTGGAGCAATATTATTATTTTTTAATGGGATATTATTACCTAATCTGTCTACCAAGACTTCTTTGTTACTGAAAGGGTAGTAAAGTCTTTAGAGGTTAATTTATCTATCTATCTGGGTGAAGTATTTGAATTTTCGGTCACTTTGCAATCAGAGTTAGTTATGAACATATATGACGTACAACATTCGATTGATAAGCCTAGCATATGTTTTTCAAAGTTTCTTATAAAAATATCAAATTCAACTATCATGAATATGTCCGGATTTTTTGAAATACCAACTCGTAACACGAAATGCAACCGACTGTCAGTTATTGAATCCGTTCAAAACCCTGAGACCATAGTAATCTTAACCAGTTCCTCCATTAACATGGTTTATCTATTAAGTGAAAACTAAAGATCAAACCTGTCTTTCGTCGTTATTTTTATAGCTTTTAAAGAAGTTTATATAATTGTTTTTTAACCTTCTGATCACGACTTGGGAGATTTTACTTTTTTGGTCAATTTTATTTTATACTGCGTTCTACACAAATTTGTCTCGACTAATCTGTAGCATTTATGTTATCGCTTTGCAGATACGAAGTGCAGTCTACACTGAATAGTTGTTTGTGTATAATGTATCTACAGAAATACAGTCTGCTTGTTGTTGACGCTTCTCAATATCTTTGATCACCCTTAAAACATAGAGAAACTATTTTTGACTTATACGTTTGCTTACTAAATTGTCCTGAGTAATGGTTTTGCAATAGTAACCGTTTCAAATTGTTTTCCAGTTGTTTTAGCTGATTATCGTTCGATCACTGGGTTTTTTTAGTCACATTTCTCTTTAATTTTATCCTCTACACGTTCACTCAAATAAAATTGTTTCAATACTCAATAACGGCAACATCAACAACATACCTATAGGTTAAATCCAATAATAACGTCTAGACAATCAGAGTTTCTCAAACTCCCGAAAACCTGCTTAGCTAACTAATATAGTTAGTTTCACTAAGCCATTAAAAATAATGAATAATTCAACTTCCCCAAAGTGCCGCTCATTCGATAAAGAAATGGATCGAATAGATATTCAGTGTAGTTTTGTAAGTTGAGAGGTAACTTTTCGTGATCTTGGTACTTTTATAACGTTAAAGTCTACGTAGTTGTAAAAACCTGCACAACGAAAATGTGAAAAGATAAGATTACTGTATTTTAAAAAATGGAACAATGTAGTCTAAGTGATTGAAATGTAACTATCGTACGTTTATCAGATCATTTTAAGGATATTTGCTGAAAAGTTAAAAAAACAACGTAAATAGGAAAAGATAACCACACTTAGCTTTGCTTCAGAATTTTCTGACTTTAGAGTTGTTTGTGGAACGGTTGAGTCATAAATATCTTGTTTTTTTAATTCTTACTGAAAACGTATTTTAAAGTGATAACTAACTCAGTGTTTACTTCTTTAACTTTTAAATATTTTCTAGTCAACTGTAATACAAAATGTTGCCAACTTTTCATTGGTCAGATTATTTGGTTTTCGGTATTTCACTTATTTGTTACTCCCTGATTGGAATTTATCATCGATATCATGATGTACTTTTTGGGAAATTAACTAATTGTTTTCGTGGTATCAACTTTCAACCAAAAGTGAGAAAGAAAATGAACGTAGAAGAATTATTCTTAGGTGATCGTAATTTGACATTGTTACCTATTGTTGGAAGTGTAATGGCCAGTTTTTTATCAGCTGTCGGTATATTGGGCACTGCATCTGAAGCTTATCAATGTGGTATTCAATTTATTACATTGGTTGGAGGTTATTGTATTGCATTTCCATTAGCTGCATATGTTTACATGCCAGTATTTTATAAGCTCAGATTGAACAGTGCTCATGAAGTTAGTTGATTAATCTTGATATGTATATTTCGTTGTCTGCTGTATTGCTAACCGTATTACCCTAAATCTCGAATTAACTCTTAAACGTCTTTCGATGGCTTATTATCTATAACATGAATTTACATAGACCATGGGAGAAATACGAGTTATACAATCTCATAGTCACATTTGTTGCGAACAAATGGATGATCATAGAAGTATATGTGGTCGGAAAATTAACGTAATAATTTTACGCAACTCATATATTACGTACGAATTTATATAATCAACCAACTTGTTTATATAAAAATGAAGTGACACTGAACGATTGTCAAAATCAAAGTATTCGAGGAGGTGTAATTCAACCACTACAGTCACCAATCTACTCATAAAATCCAAAGTCATCTAGATACTGTTTAATTTACACCCCACTCTGCAATTTATCACGCACTTGCTACAGCTGTAGATTACAGTTTAATATTTAGATACTTACACTACTAATGAAGTAGGAATACTTGTTATTCCCCCGGTTCTATACATTTTTTTATTGCAAAGCACTATATTAATCGTTAAGCAGTTTGAACGATCTTATCATTGCATACTTGGGAATTTGAAAATCTTAATTCAAGAAGGTTACTTTCTTACTAAAGTAGAATATTAATAACTTAACTTACATAAATCGTTTGTTAGTGTTCTGATTTGTAACAGATATTTGTCATAAATGTTAAGTACTTACTTAGTTTCTAGTCTTACATTAAACGTTTTCTAGTTTTAGCTCTTAGTAGATGCTGTGCACAAATTAATTCTCAAAGGTCGAAAATATAAGTCTATTCACCTGTGCTTCTGTTGGTTTTGTCAAAATCACAATAACATTTTTCATGCGTTACTATTCCTTAAAGTGTTTATGTTACTTAACAAAGTTTTTATAGATGAATGGTTTTTCTTAAAATTCTTATACATTTATCTAAATCCTTGTTGATCTGTAAACAATTTGTATTGTGTTTGTATTTCGTTTAAATTTTATTAAATAGTATTTAGAAATGCGATTTGGAAAACTTGTTCGATGGACAGCCTCACTTGTATTCTTATTACAAATGGTATGTCAATTATTTTACGGAAATCATTCGTTGAGTCTTATGGTTATACAAACATTTACTTTAAAATAGTACCATTTAAATAAGAACTGAAAAATTACGGGTTCTAGGTAAACATTTTCAGTTGTTCTTCAATAAGCAGAAAACTGGAGTATAAGTTGATTACTTGAGAAAAAATGTACTGTCGAGTGAGATTTATCTTAGTTAATACCTATCATTCCTTGGTTTATAAACTTTGTTGAAATACAAGATATGTGAAAATTATTTGATTCGAAGGTAGATTTCATCATATACTAACTCAAATATCGGCGAACATCGAATAACTTTGTCCTGTTAGTTTGAGACTTCTAGGCAGTGCATATCGAACATATATAGGATCTTAAAATTTTTGCACAATCCCCCCATTTCTGTTCATTCTTGTAAAGTTAGTGACATTTGTTTTATTATTTGTACGATTAAATTTAGAGACACTTTTCAAGTGACCTTACTTTTTTAATGCGATTCGCCTGGTGTGATAAAATTGTATGTCTCATAGGATTGATATAATCACACACTAGTTGCTCACATAGTTGTAACCAATGTCATATTATTTAACTTTTATTATTTATCAATTATGCTGCAATATTCCTATGATTCTGAATGACATAAAATGACCATGCACCATTTTATTTGGTATTCTATCAGTTAATCCTGTTTTACTAATGATCAGTCTCCATTATTTACTCTTTAAACTAATCTTTTGTCATCTATTTGCATATTTATTTACTATGCTTTTCATTTTGTTTCATTAACTTTATTCAAATTAACACTTGTAGACAGTTTACATTGCTCTTGCATTGTATGCGCCTGCTTTGGCATTCAGTCAAGGTGAGTTATTGTTTTGTTAACTTGGAATAATGATCTAAGAGATTGATTATTATCAGTATTTATTATTATTTTTATTCATACACACATGCTTCGATTGGTTACTTGTTCCTTGGAACTGTGACCATTTCTCGTCAAATTAGTCGCTATATGTATATATGTATATTACAAAGTAACATTTTTGCATAGATCACGTGAAATTTAGATCATGTTTATGTTCATTAGAAAATGTTCAACTCATTTGTTTAATTAATTCAATAATGAATTTAATTCTGTTATGTTTTTTCTTTTAATCTTTTCTATACTGATCTATTTCTTTTGTTATTTATATTGATTTGAAGTTAGCGGTCTACCCATTTGGATATCGATATTGTCTACTGGTTTAGTGGCTACATTCTATACAGCTTTTGTAAGTTAGATTAATTATAATGTGATGATAATAATAACTTCATCATTGATTGAAAATTATTATTATTATTATTATCTGCTTTATTCAATATTATATATTTTTGGTACAATATAGAATTCTCAGCGTAAAGTATTTCAACAAGTTTCCGTTTCTTTCTTCTTGGTCGGTCCTGGTGATAAATATTGAGTGATCGCCAGTAAGATGTTAGCAGTTCAGTAAATGAACATCTGAATAATGTGCATTCTTTTCGCTGTATATTGCCAGCAACCACGTTGGCTCTTACTGAGTTTTTTGTAACTTTGACAACGAAAGGTTGTACAGTTTTCAGAAACGCAGCAGAATAAGTCATGGGATTAATAAACATAATGATATATGAAAACAAACAAAAATAAATAACTTGTTGAAATATCTAGATGGCAGGAACAGGTAGCCCAGATGCTCAAGCAGGCCACCCTTGTTGGATCAACTCATCATATGTTGATACATCTAGTAATTAGGTTAAATAATGAATGTTTTATATGTGAAGGAATACTTGAATTCTCAGAAAAAGGTTTTGATTAGTCCATGTGTAGCATGTGTCTAGTGGCGAATTAGCGGTTAACTTGTTATGTTCCGATAAGAATAATGATTGGTAATTTTTGGGATCTATTTGTGAAACAATACTATGCGTATATTTTTATCGTATAATTGTTAAATAACTGAATTATCCATATTCATGTCTCTCTTATCATAAGCTTTATTTTAACCTATGAACTGTTATTATACGATGTACCATTCTTGAATTATTCCCTGTCTATTGATCACTATCTCCCACATTCACAGCCACATTTGGGCAAATCTTGCACAAATGTTGTTTCCTATTTTATGGTAAGATGTGGTCTGTTTGATTGGTATACAAACTCCGTATATTGAGATTGTTGTTCTGGACTTAACTAACTGGGCTAGGCGGAAAGTAGGACCAATAAGGACTCTAGACTGCTCGTACGTGTTTTATGCGTCACTAGTTCGATCGATAATTCACTGCTCTCCAATTGGCGGTATCATTACGTTATACATAAACAGAGCACACAGGTCACAAGTTATAACAATTGGCGACGGGGATGGGATCCCAAAAACTACCACTCAGTATTGTTATAGAGACATAACATAAACAATGAATTACATATTCGGGCTTTGCATTATCCGTTTGGATTTAAGCAACTGAGTAATGTCAACATCTGTTATAACCTAAGACATTACTGTAACCAATGCTAAAAGAAGTTAGGTGATAGTCGATAATTTGTCTCAATGGTTTAGATGCAGTCGTTCTTCACCTTCCTTTGGATCTGGGGATTAAATACTACCTTCTATTTTTTTTATTCCGTGAACTCATTCTCCGATTATCTTGTCTATGCCTAATGTTTTCCATTACCGCTGATATTATTACTACTTCCATGAATTTGGCATTGATTTTAATGATTTCATTTCACCGTGCTGATTTGAAGTGGCAAATTAAACTGTACCAGGTTATACGTTGCTTATGACTAACTGACTAGTCATCACGCATCAAGTGTGCCTCAAAGATATGTATATGAATACTTGCACTTGAAGAGTAAGTTAAGTTATCTCTTTAGTGTGAACGGAAACATTCAATTATATTCACCTCATATTACAAATCATAAGAAATGGAGACTTTTCATCTCACTTGTTGATTTAAATTTATTTTACTTGAAATAAAAAAAAACATATAAAAGCAGGATGCGGAGAAGGATTGAAAATGAAATTTGCTGTAAAGATCAAAAATCGGTGGAAAATACCCATTTAACATTACATAATTCATCTATATACATTTGTTAGTTGTTGAAAGAGTTTTTAAGCTGACCCATTAGATGTGTTAAAGTAAACAGCTTAATAGAAATTTATGGAAGTAAAATTATATTTGTAATAATCTCGCCGATCGACGTTCAATTTATTCCCAGACTTCATTTATTCTCTAAATTTTAATAACAATAACACACACATTCATACAGACACCTCCACATGTCTCACGTTCAACATATTACATAATAAATAACTCACATTCTTACTTTATACAGACTTGAAATCTGAATATTATTGGACAAGTGTTTTATAGTGAATTGTTTCTGACTGTATTGATCTTTGATTAATTCCTTGAATAAACTTATCTTACTGAGCAACACATCAAAACTACTTAACGTCTCGTTCCCCTTCTCTTTTAAATATCAAAATGTCTATTTATTTAGTTGCTGATTTCGTTTTGTTTCAAAAGAGCTTTCGTTTCTTTTTGCTCGCCCATTTTATCGAATTAGAGATGACATATTCTTTTGAATTGTGCTAAAAACCAGTACGAGAC